TCGTGTGTCGAACTGTGTGCCGTAGTATGTCTCACTGTACGGCAGCGCACAGCTCGTAACGTCAAGGAAATCCAACATGCGCCCGATATGACGAGCTGACCTCTATCGCTGACCTCGCCGGGAAAGCGCCAGACGACATTTACGTCGCGTTGTTTAATCTCTGTGTTTCAACGCAGTTTGACTGCGCCCGATTCGTGAAAACATTGTAACGCGACGAGGTTCGTGTAGTTACAACGACGTGAGCATCCGAGGCATTTCGGTAAAGCTCGCCACGATGGGCAGCGATGTTTGCACTGCATTGCACGCGCAGAAGACGTTACTCGAACGTTCTTACAACGTTTCGGTTTAACGCGAGCTGTTATTCGTCGTGAAAACGATTTGAACACGATCGAGCGCTGTCGCACTAGGCGACTTCGTGTAGTAAAGACAACTGTAGAGGCATTTTCGTTTAATGTCGCCACGAGGAAGAGAGATGTGCTGCCTCTGTGGCACTCACCACACACGTTCCGGTGAATATATCCAGCCAGATCTCGAGAAACAGCTTCGACATAAGACATGGAGCTTTGTTATTCAGCTGCTCCTGCCCTTAGAATCGTAGTCATCGTGCCTATCGGCTAACAAAACATCATCACGCATAGTTATGTAAACCGATATATACTTCATTATTATTATGTCAAATGTTGTAACGCTTCCCAATTTTGCGTCAAAAACGAAAAACTTGAGCATTGAAAGGTAAATTAGAACGCTAGAAAAGTTTATCGAACTTGTCGAACTTTTCTATAATGTAATACCCAGCTTAAACTCACAACTGTCCAGCACTCTTCTATTACTCCTCTACATGATAAGAATGAACAACATGGCCTACTAAATCTGGCAAAAGGCCCTAATCATACGGTTTTACATTGCATAAACCGAAGATGGAGTTTTCTCTTGCATTACAACGTCTGGGCGAATTCTCTGGACCACATCATCGCCATCGATGTCCTACCTGCATGAGTGTGTTGATATGTCGATTAGCATGCACTGCGCCACGCCAGCCGTCTTTCGCTTCAATGCCTCACGACCTTCATCCCGACCTGTCTCCCGAACCTGCCAGGCATTACATAGCTCTATAACGAACATCATCTCTGGATTAGCATTGGCTCTGTGTTAGCTCTTCTCAAAGAATATGTTGATGAGAAGACAAACATATGCTTTAGTGCATTACTTTACCATTACTTCTTACCGGCACTGCATACTATCACAAACACTTTCATGTATATATCTCCACTTATTAAATGCAGCGACTTTTTATTCTTAACTTTTTATCGTAAGCTTCCCAAATCACACGGGCGCGGAGAACCAATAAAATTTGCTTATACTCATGGGTATATTATGTACCCTGATACATGTCTCTAAGCGAAAGCCTATCTTGCCGTCCATCAAGCCACTTTCTGCAACAATTTCGTGCCTTTTGATTGCCTACCATAGATTACTCAGCGGACCCAGTTTCAACGAATGTATGCCTGCCGCTCGCACCACACCATCACCGCTCTCCAGTGCTTGCCAATCTTACCTATTGGCAGCTTTGATCGCTGATAAGCTGCCGAAGCCAGCTTGCGCCAAGCAAATTTGTGCCTTTTTGAATCCTACCATAGAATTACTTCTTGCTGCTTCAATCACTTATACGCCATGCTGTACTCCACACTCAACACCTTTCACCACTGTCTCCAGGTGTTTATACTTACACCTATTATACCCTACCATCTTACCTACGGCAGGTTTCGTGAAAGCTGCCGATCCGCGCCTTGCGAAGCTACGCAGGCGCCGCATAGGGCTGTGGAAATGCGTTCTCTAGCTGCTCGGCCTGATGATCCTGTCCTGCATCGCCCTCCATCGCGTGCAGCCAGCGCTGCTAGCGCCGTGGTAGATCATACCTTCTCCTTGTTCTCCGCAAACAGACCCTGCAAGTGTACAAACTATTAGTTAGTAACTGCCGTAACAATGTGTCGAGAGCAGACTTGGAGTGGCAACCGTTGCATGTTACAACCTATAGTTCAGTAACTGCAGAATAACGTATGTTGCGGTGTGAGAGAGACTGTGGAGTGGCAAACCTTGCCTATGCACAACTTATTAGCTTAGTAAACTCGGTAACTGCCATCGTTGTGAGAGAGACTTCGGAGTGCCCAACCTTGCATGTTACAATACTATAGTTGAGTAACTGTAACAATAGTGCTGAGCAGAAGACTTGGAGTGGCAAACCTTGCATGTACAACTATCAGTAGCTAACTTCGGTAAACGATGTGCTGGATGCCTACGAGACTTTGATGTGGCAACCTTGCATGTACAACTATAGTTAGCTTAACTTGTAATGTTCGATGTGTGAGAGCAGACTTGGAGTAGCAAACTTGGATGTAACAACAGTATAGTTAATAAACTAGTCTAATGTATGTTGAGAAGAGACTTGGGAGTGGTAAACATGACTCCTGCATTGCACAACTGATGGTTAATCACTAAGACAATGTTGTGTAGAGCAGACTTTGCGACGCTGACAAACAGACCCTGCTAATGCACAACTATTGGCTTAGATAATACTACGTCAATGCGTGAGAGTAGACTTGGCAGGGGTAAAAAATGACCCTAGCATGGCCCACAACTTATGGTTAATAACTAGGCTCAATTGTGCTGAGAGAGACTTGTAGTGCCGGAGTGGTAAACAGACCCTGCATGCACAACTATGGTTAATAACTAGACAATGTGTGAGAGAGACTTGGAGTGACAAACAGACCCTGCATGCACAACTATGGTTAATAACTAGTCAATGTGTGAGAGAGACTTGGAGGGGTAAACATACCCTGCATGCACAACTATGGTTAATAACTAGTCAATGTGTGAGAGAGACTTGGAGTGGTAAACAGACCCTGCATGCACAACTATGGTTAATAACTAGACAATGTGTGAGAGAGACTTGGAGGGGTAAACAGACCCAGGACCCTGCATGCACAACTATGGTTAATCACTAGACAATGTGTGAGAGAGACTTGGAGGGGTAAACAGACCCTGCATGCACAACTATGGTTAATAACTGGACAATGTGTGAGAGACCTGAAGTGGTCGTTTGGGTCACCCATCCATCGCACTAGCCAATTTAGCTTCGAATCGCATATAGTTCAATGCCTTTAAACTATAAGGTTAGCCAAGAAAAAACAATTAACAACTCATCTTACATAGGGGTTAGTGAAGGCACATGCATCTATTCAGCTATAGAAAGGTTCTTCACTAGTGCATGCATGGCTTCCACGCGGAAATAGCAGTTGCGACTGTTATTGCAAAACAATTATCTACGACAATAAGCCAAAAGGAAATGCAAAATCGTTCATAATGATGACCAAAATCACAGCAATCTCGATTGCTGAGATAGTCTCAAACAACACAAAACTGATCCCAACAGGCAGGGCCACTATACGTTTGCCACTAGCCTGCTACCACTGATCTTTACATACAAATGCTAGCCACCACAATATCAGAAGTTGGTGAAACCGCCAAAATTCTTCTAGTTACTAGCATAAACCAACAACTCTAAAGACTAAACGACAACCTAATTTTATAACAACAGTAAACTACCGCTGCCACCTATCACAACTGTTCTCAATGCTTGTTTAAATTGTTGCTGAGAAGTCTCCCGACTTAGGCTGTCAAAGACGACGTACAAATGCTAAATTTTTTTATCATACATTTTAAAAATTACATCTTAAATGCTGATAGCCATGCATATACCAATTGCTATTTACAAGCCGCGGCAGAGGCAGCAGGACGAGAGCATAGATGGCAGCACTCGACACTCGTCTGCCACCAGTACTTACGTCTGCTGTGACGGCGTGCAGCAAGCCACTGTATGCCACGTTGACGTTGAATCGAGACACGTTTTCGGCAAACGTGTGCCCCACTGAAATCACGCAGAAAATGAACCAAATAAAAAAATAATAATAAATCTACAATCAGAACGCATGTACATTTCTGATCGCTTGCAGTGCTTAACCTGCTAGATGCACAGATGAGATGAGTGACAGTGTTCCACCGTCAACAAATACTGAGTGTAGGAATAAGATGCAGAATGCACATCGTAGTTTATCTCTTCTTCTTCTTCTTCTTCTTATTATTATTATTATTATTATTATCATCATCATCAATCATCATTATTGCTATCATTATCATTGTTATTGTTATCATTATCATTACCTTTATCATTATCTTTATCATTATCTTTATCATTATCATTATCATTACCTTTATCATTATCATTATCATTACCTTATCATTATCATTATCATTACCTTTATCATTATCTTTATCAATATACCATTAACTTTTCATTATCATTATTACTACTGATTTGTTATTAGTCACATTACATTGGCGCAAGTTAAGACATGACTTGCAAGCTCCTCACCAATACGACTAAGTACATTGCGTAGTAGTCAGTGTAAGTCACACTAAGCATTAGGTGTGCATACCTAACGCTGTGTCAGGAACCTCAGAGTGTACACATCTCCACCTCTTCGTCGACGGGCACCGTGAACGGCCGCGAGACAGATAACCGCGCGGTGTCACGCACATCTTCACGTGCACGGCTCGATCCCGGACGCTCGCACTCCATCTAGCACGCTAGGCCAGCAGAGCGTCCCTAGAAACCAGACGGCAACTATCTGTCTGAGAGTTGACGAGAATACAATATATATAACATATATATATATATATAAATATAATTATATATACATACAATACAAATACATATTATAATATATATATATGTATAAGTACGTAAAAATATGAATTGAGTATGATTGATAATCGCCATCCGTTACAACGGGGCAACTCTTACATCTGACAACATTTTGTAATTGACACGCTTCGAGCCACTCCTGCTTAGCACTTGCTGAAGACATTATTGAATTGTAGTTATATGTCACCTTTTAGTAAACCTCTTCATCATCAGCTACAGAGCACGTTCATGCACACTGTATTACTGTATGTAAGCATGTGTTAATTACTATATGTTAGCATGCATTACTTATCCGTCTTCAATAGAGCTATGATGGACACCAGCGTTTTTGTATTCCGAGGTAAGCCAATTAGGTGACTAATTTATACTCAACTTCAGGACGTAATAAACTCCTTAAAATAAATATTTATCTTCTTTCGTTCTTCCCCGCTCCCACGCCAACCCCTGACCCTTCCCCCCTCTCCATCTCTCTCCGATTCCCTCTCTTACCTCCTCCCTGTCTCTCTCTCTTACTACCCTCCAACATGTAGTTGTATCTTCAATAACTACATTACAAGACCATGGAAAAACTGTTAGATTAATTTTTGTAACTTCATGAATCACCTGAGAATATTTTTGACTCATAGAAAATCACCACAAAATGAGTTTGCCACATAGTAGCGCTTACCTATCTGTAGATGTGTACGACCTGACTAACCTTTCACGTACTCAACAGAAAACATCTGTGGATTCCTTGGACTTCTAACTAATGCAAATATCTATAAACAACAAAACGAGCAACATCAGCCCACAGTACATCTAGAAATACAATCTTGGAGTCAGATAAGAAATACACGGTAAATTTCATCAGGTTCGCAAGCAATATTACACATAGCAGCAAAAGTATTTCGCATAAATTCACAATAACTACAATACATACAATGAATCGCGAGTAATCGAATAATTTGCAGTCACTTACATCACATAAAGTCTCAGCGTAACGATGTGGTAGCGGTAGGATCTCTCTCAATAGACACGTCTCAGTGAGACACAAAAGCCGCCGCACGGCTCATTCTACATGACACAGAAAATATGTATTAACCAGATCCCAACAACATGGGACGGCATTAACACAAGTCACAACAACTACTCAGCAGCTGCAGAAACTGCTGCAAGCAAATATCACTATAGGTTTTTACGCAAAAACACAAATTTGTGGCCGCAATTGCTGCATTTCCTCCTATACCTTCCACTTCGACATCCCAACTCGTTTTCGATTAACCCCCCCCCCCCCACGTCCGAATATCGTGACCGTACATCAAGCGGTTAAGATTTGTGCCCAACTGTTGACGGACGCACGGACGGACGCACGGACGCACGCTCATGAGATTCTACAAGCTGCATCTGACTATGTCAGATGAGCTAAAAACACTACTCTTTCCAAGTATTTCAGGCCATTCCAGATCTTCCTAGGCATCCCTACATACATTTCCTATATGCACTCCTATATACATACATCTATGCAAATATCCATATACATATCTATTCCTATATACATCTAATATCTATACGCATTTCCTATTTTGGATGTCAGGAGGAGGTAGATCGATATCATTTGTTCAGCAGTGGCTTACGTTGTGACGAGGGGAGACTTTCTGCACGACAAACTCGACCAGCGACGTCAGTGACTCGTCGTCGCTAAACTTTCCAAACTTGTTGCGCTGGCAACGCTCGAACTCCCACGTGTCCTTGGGCATTCTCAGCTGCACCCCGACCCCTGCCGACGCGTGCTCGATACACTTCTGCAAGATTTCTTCCCTGCGCTCAGACGCGAAGAAGTGCTGGAAGAATCACATGACATCATTACGGGGGAGATTGAGAACATCGAAACACGTTTCGTCGGCTGCGGGGCTACGATACGCGAATAACGACGAAGATGCAATGATACTTTGTGGTTACTTACATCCGACTACTTACATATACTTACTAGCTAGTTACTTGCATATTGAACCGCGTTAAAGTGATTACGTCACCGTAAATAGTAAAAGTAAAAACAATTATGTTCACATTTTTCACAAAATGTAAATGATTCTGTTCACTTTTTATGATTAAATTGCTGCATTATACTTCCTATTTTACTATTCCATTCGATGTGAACAAACACTCGTGACTCATAGCAAGCATGTAATGTCGCGATCAATATATCAAATTGCCCAGTTTTTTTGGATTTTTAACTAGTTGAAAAATAATCTTATCAGGTAAGACTTTGAGGATACATTTAGTGCTATTAGTACATACTTTTAATGGAAAAAAATTGCATACACCATAGAAAATTTGTGACATAGTCAATTTAAATTGTTTACTGAATCACTTACCAGCCGTCCGAATCCTCCGTATGATACGGCGAAACCGCCCGGGTAGTCGCTTATCTAGAAACAAACATCCGAACATGTAAATGCATAGAATACAAACGATGTTTACCACGTGCAACCTCTTTGCATACAAGCTCTCCCCCTATCAGCCCATCCTGGCCACAATACTTTGTAGCATAGATACTTTGTAGGTACACTAGAGTGCATTGCTAACTTACTTCGCATTTTTTAACCTATACTTTGGTTTAAAATGGCATCCAATAATCCACATATTGAAACCACTTGGGGCAGCACAGTGGCGAGGCGGCCCATAGAAGCTGTCCATGCCTCTTCTCCACACATGTCTAAAGGTACACTACAGTCAGACTATAGCACTTGCATTGCTCTTTTTATGCGCTTATTAAAATAGCAAAAACATGAAGGTTTACAAAACTCACATAAATCACTTTCGTCATTTTGTATATGCATTAGTATGTACGCCTAAAACTATTTCTCCGCACCTGAACAAATGCTTCTATGTCTTTGTAGTCGTAGGAACAGAGCACCTTTCCCGTTGTAAGGTCAACTTGATCTAACGAACCTGGCCCAACCTCAAGCTGAGTTGGTAGCCGCTTGTCAGACCAGTGATGCTTGTATGCATTGTATTTCTTGAAGGCAAACATTTTTCGTAAATTAAACATACAGAACAATGAACCCATTGGGATAATCAGAGTGAATTAGTGTTGATAAAATATACCATGACCATTTCACATTATAATTTAGATATAATCATATATTACCAGTTTTGACAGATTTTCATGTTAGTTCTATCCTGATAAAATTATTTGCAATCAAAGAAATCAAATGGTTAACAAATCATCCAACCTTTTTATAAAGCCACTTACCAGATTGTGTTTGTGAGTTTCGGCAAAGTTGTCCCTGTACCTCTGCAAACAGATTAAAGTCAATAGAACATGTTATCTGAGATTGGTATTTGTACACTGCAGGACAGCTCTACAAGCAGTGAAGGGAGTTCTAGGTCTCAGTGGCTAACATCACCAGACCGTGACCTCTACCCCGATTGACAGTGTGTAAGCAAACAATCAAAAATCGCTAAAAGTGTACAAAATTCATGGGGAGCCACGGACTATTACGGAGCTAATTACAGTCCGTTGCAAAATACAGGGACTGCTACGCACCATGCACGGACACTTCTCTACCTCCCCTACTACCTCCTCCCCCTCACACTCCTACACTCACCTAGCAGTTAGTAGGATTTGGCCGTGTCTCACTAGGCGAAAGATTTTAACTGCAGCAGCAGTAGGAGGTACTTTAGCCCACCCCTCCCCATCCTCCCTCCACCTACGTTCTCACCCCATTTCCATCCTCCTCTCCTCATCCTACCACAACCTACTCCTCCACACATAGAACAGGTGGTAGTGTTTGCCTATGTCTCACAGCGTGGGCGATTTTGGCTGCAGCAGCAGTTACGGATACACACGACTACTGGCAAAAAGATTATGATTGTGTAGGGATTGAATATATCTCGAACGTAGACAGTAGGACGTAACAGTAGTATAAACGGTGACAACTACAGTTTTATTATAAATACGGATAAATAGCACAGTCAAAACAGTGTACACGTACCAGTTAGAGGTTGCATCGTCTCCCCCGTTTCTACCAAAACCCGCCCTTTTTAAGCCGTCAGCATCCCCGCCGCGACGTTTTTAGACTTAAATTAATTTATGACGCGGGTAATGGATACAATGACCGGTCGCGACTAATGTCCGATGGTACCAGGTAGGATCGTCGACCACCGTTGACGTTGCCTGCCTAATGATGGCCGTTTGATAAACCGCGTCGCATTCTTGTTGAAGTTAATGTGTTCGTACCATTCTAAAATATATTCTGTCCACGCTGAATTATGTAGCTAATGTACTCTGGATCCATCGCCGGGCGGGTCTCTGAACATTTGCATTACTAGTGTGCCAAATTCCCAATTCAAATGTGGCAATTTCAAATTTCCAATGTCTCTATCTCAACGCTAAAACGCCGTACTACAATTGCGACCTTAACCATTTTGCCCACCCCTCTCCCCTAGCCAATATAACGTAACCCAGCATGCCCTATTAAAATGATGTAAACAGAAGACACCGTGCTAAAAGTTCTTTGTAGAAAAATTCCCTCAGATGCCTTTTTTAGATAAGTTACATCAACTCATTTTTAGGGTCAACCATTTTCAGATCGTAAGCAGTTAGTGCATCATGAATCACGACTTCACTGGTGATTTACACGAAACAGTACACATGCACACATGTTATTACACACGGATTTGCCCATCTAGGTTGATACACGACTGTCAGTAATCCGTCCCACACATGACGTTGAACTTACTAAGGCTTCAGTGATCAAGTCAGCTCTGTGGTCTGTTGAAAATCTCATCGTGTCAGTCTTCTTGCCACCTTTCTTGATGGTGATTATAAACTCATTGGTTCCCTGCGCCTTCACGTTTGGCACAATACCTACAAATTCACTGTACGGCCACTAGAAGCAAAATTGCAAAATATTATGAGAGAGAAAGGTAGTTAAAATACCAATACAAAATATCATTGCATTGTGGCTAACTATTTTAAATGCTAGATGAATGTTCACCATTCTTTTACATTTCAATCAAATCTGTAGTTAATGCCTACTCGGGGAAACTGCAAGTGGCCTTTATAAAGCAGATATAATGACGAGATGGCTGATCTAAGGAGGTAGTTTCACTGTAGAACTACCACTCAAGGGAAAAGCTAAATATGGCCTTTACTGACAGGTGGTTATTATATAGAGGTGGCAACTTACACAGGTCTGACTGCAATTTAATGAATGGTGTGGTTTGGAATATAACATAATGAGCAATCGGTACTTGCCTGGTTTGTAATAACTAGTGTAATAGGACTACAAGTAGTTTTCAATTGAAAGAATAGTGTGGTTTAGAATATAACACAATGGGCTCAAGGATAGAGAGCATGTCCAGTAATGAACATCATCCTATCCTATCACCGTCCTGGACATCATCTCTATTCTTGAACCACACAAGGAGCAAAATTGTTACTTGCCTGGTTAGTGATTTCAAGTGTGTTAGGACTGTAAGTAGTTATGCCCATGTTTCCTACTGAGAAGACTCGCTTGTACTTGCCCTTCCATGAATGTTTAGTGATGAAGTAACAAGCAATATCCTCGTTCTCTCTCATAGAAGTCATTGTAGCAGCTTCTGAAATGCATAATTGTTCAAAATAAACTCAATCTAACTTTCAAAGCCTCTCACAACCCTTACAGGATATAACCTTTATCGAGTTGGTTTCTTTAGAAAGATTATATTTTGTTAGATAAATCAATATCCAACCACAAGGGACAAACTGTCTGTCTCTACTTGCCAGATGACTGGGTCCAGTTGACAGGTGACATAAACAGTCAGCATAGTCATATAAGGCGCAAATAATGGGGTCACCTCACAGATCATTGCATGGCGACACGAACATTCATTTCTTACAGATAATATTAATATATTAGCCAAATTGTCAGGGTACAACAGTTTCTGCAACGATGCAAGGCTATTAGTATTATATGATGTTATACAAGTTTTATTATTTATAGTCGTAGACTCAAATACAGAATCATCAATTTTCAATCTTCAAAGATAAACTCCCGATAGATTCTAGCCTCATCTACATTGGAAGTAAGACTGGGCGGCTGGATGCCTCAGCAAAAATTTGTTTATAGTTGCCTGTGTAAGAGATGGGATTAAAAATCAAGAGCAACACAAGCGCAACGTTATATTTATAATTATAACACAAATGCGAACATAAACATAAACGTCTTCTGCTACGCCACGTCACTTGCATCTATCTATATAGTCTCGAAAAATCGCGGATAGTGACAATCAATGTCAAAACAGCTGCGGAGACTTCTGGTTTAGTGGTTTTACAGAAGCGGTACAGTTTCAACAATCACTAAGATGCATATAGTGGTGCGTTCAACTTCATACAGTTTACACGTCAAGTCAATGTGATCCGAGTCAGACTTCCGAAATGCGGAAACGCTCCCTCAAGTAATATCCGTAGAGTACTACGATTACAAGCAATGGCAGTCCTTGTATGCATTATATAATGATGTTACCTTCTAAATATGATTGTGTCAAATATGCATTTCAAGCTACTTCCTGCGCAAAACACGAATTAACTGTAACGTCTAAGTTTTATGTTATGGTGGTTTCCATATTGGACCTGCCTACACCTGTTCACTTGTTTAATCATTGTCATCGTCGTCGGCGTCCCGTCAGCGAGTTTTTAACCCGTCACGCAAGGGTCGCGTAGGGTTTGTCAGAGAGAAATATATACAAATATATTGCTCTCAGGGTTTGGGTGGATGTTTCAGTGGGTGAGAGTGTGGTTCCCTGGAATTGTGTGAATGGATGAATAGATTGTTGAATAAAGATTAACGCACGGACGGACGCATGTGTGTGAAAGCGAGCGGGGAAGGTGACCTGGGGGTAGATTCATCAAGCTGCGTACGCAAAATATTTTGCGTAAATCTTGTGTACGCAATCGACGTTGGTTAGTTGCGATTCATCAACACAGTTATTTAGTAAATTTGCGTACGATTTCGCGTACGCAAGCGAGGCCGTTTTAGGTGCGATTCATCAAGCTAATATTTACGTAAACCTTTGCGTAACTTTACACGAGCTGACGAGGTGCCGTAAACCACTCGAAATTTCCGCAGGTGTTTCCAGCATACCGCAGCATACATTATTTTATTGAGAAAACATTATAAAATTACTACTCAACTAAAAATAAATAAATAATTACCATACTACACTGACAGGCGGCACCTTTGACGCTTCTTTTGTCATAGCTTGGCATTGTTTTCATTATAAACGAGTTCGTAGTTAGCCGTGTACTCGCACACGCACGAACTTGTACGTGCACACGCACGCATGCACGTGTACGTG